TTATTATGCCACAGTCGACCGCTTCCGCTCCTTCCGGAAAGCAGCGGAGCTTTTATTATGCCACAGTCGACCGCTTCCGCTCCTTCCGGAAAGCAGCGGAGCTTTTATTATGCCACAGTCAAGCAGTGGAAGTAAGCAGCGCTATTTTATCATACTAGATAAATTTGAAAGTTCTGTTATAATGCTACTCTGTGCGGTTGTCACCTGTCTAATAAAATGCATAGCACATTAAAGCGTCTTCTGTGTTTCCATGTTTTCTACAAAACAAAACCGGAAATCGAGGGGTTATGACGTCATTGGCAGGCGACACAATGACACTATGGAAACGCTCTGCGTCACTAGTTAAACTTGCTTATTTCTCTGGATTTAAACATTCTTCGAAACATTTGGGATAATGCAAGTACACAAGTCAGCAAAATATATAACACAGTTCTAGTGGTTTTTGGATATTTTAATTAAAACATCTTACATATTGTGCCTTTAAATAAACACTTTTCAATTATGTAAACATCGCTTTAAAATTGTCAAGTGAAATGTTAGTAATAAAATGAAGAACAAAGAAACTCGTTATATAGAGCAAGTCTATTAGGCTACGTTCACACTGCAAGCATTAGTGCTCAATTCCGATGTATTGCTTGAATCTGATTTTTTTTCTATGGCTGTTCACATAATTTTTAAATGTGGCCAACATCAGATTGCAATGTGAACGAATGACGGTGCTGAACTGACCCGCACGCACAAAAAAACAACAAGACAAAATAAAATTAAAACTAAAATTAAAACTAAACAAAAACAAAAAAAAACATTAAAATAAATGTTAACTAAAATAAATTAAAATATTAAATGTAACATTTCATTTCAATTATTTGGCAAAGCATCATTTCTCATTTTCTTTTAGATGGCTATATAGAGCCGTCACTGTAATACACCGTAAAACTACAACATACTGCCTCTCCCCCTGACAACCTCCGTCATGTTCACCAAGTGACTAAAGAACTACCGCTATGTAAAATCTTTGAAGTGACTCCCGTCAGTAAGCGGGGAATTATTCTTATTTCGATCTAGAGTCCAAGTCACCATGAATTGCAATATGATCATTCGGACTGTGGTCGCATTGCAAAACACCGAACCTGAATCAGATTTAGTACCACATATGGAAGTGGCCCAAATCAGAATCAAAAAGATCAGATTCCACGAGGTCTGTGCTGTTCACACCGTCGTGAAACTAAATGATCTGGGTCACATACAGTGGGGCAAAAAAGTATTTAGTCAGCCACCAATTGTGCAAGTTCTCCCACTTAAAAAGATGAGAGAGGCTTGTAATTTTCATCATAGGTATACCTCAAAAATGAGAATGAGAAAAAAAATGAGAAAAGAAAATCCAGAAAATCACATTGTAGGATTTTTAAAGAATTAATTGGTAAATTCCTCTGTAAAATAAGTATTTGGTCACCTACAAACAAGCAATATTTCTGGCTCTCACAGACCTGTAACTTCTTCTTTAAGAGGCTCCTCTGTCCTCCACTCGTTACCTGTATTAATGGCATCTGTTTGAACTTGTTATCAGTATAAAAGACACTTATCACAGTTAAGACTCTGCCACGCCCCCCTAAAACGGCTCGTTCTAACACGCCCCCACATATCTACCTCGCTATGTGGAAATATTTGCATAATGCGCCCAAATGTGCACGCAAAGAAAGAAGGCGTGGTTTCAGTAACCGCAGTTAGTGTTGAAGCAGCCATGTCAGGGAGATGCTGTGTGTTTCTAGGCGAAAGCAAAAGCACACTTACAACAGAACAGCAATGCATTTTATGGACGACCGTTTCGTGAACCTAGGAGAGGAGGTAATTATGGTAAGGGGACTTACATTTCCGACGAGTGCTTGCGGTGTTCGGCCAATCACAATGCACTGGGTCAGCTGGCCAATCAGAGCAGAATACGCTTGTCGGAAGGAGGGACTTTGTAGAAAACTACGCGTTTGAGAGAGGCGAGGCATAGAGGACCTACAATAATGTACAGTATTTGAAAAATAATGCGTTTTTTGAACATTAAAGCATGTCAACATATTCTGTTACACCAAAAAAATTATCTTTAAAAAAGCATCATATGACCCCTTTAAGAAGACTAGAGCTGGGCTCTAATACAACTTACATAATTTTCTAATATAATAGGTCTATATCATTTTCTAATACAGTTTACATTTTGGAACGATACACGCAATCAAGCAGTTGAGATTTGCTTTTGAGATTTGTATTTATCACCCTACTGCACTGTGGATGTATGCATGCACATGCACGTATATATCCAACTTAAAGGGGTCATATGATGTTGCTAAAAAAGAACATTATTTTGTGTATTTGGTGTAATGAAATGTGTATATGCGGTTTAAAGTTAAAAATACATTATTTTCCACATATTTGTTTCTCCTCTATGCACCGCCTTTCTGAAACGTGTCGATTTTAACAAAGCTCATCGGTCTGAAAGGCGAGGTGTGCTCTGATTGGCCAGATATTCAGTGCGTTGTGATTGGCTGAATACCTCAAGTGTGTGATGGAAATGTTACACCCCTTAACATACTGTGATGCCGTGTCCCGGAGCAATGAGACATAAACATTAAAACTTATTTGAGCGGCGTTATGCAAATCTTCCCACATCATGACGTAGACATGTGGGGGCGTGTTAGAACGAGCTGTTTTAGGTAGGCGTGGTTGACTCTTAATTTTATAAAGAATATCTCTTTGGATTTGAGACTTTAGTCTTTGCAACTTTACAGATCTTCTTTATGCACCAAGAGCTTGTAACACTCCAAAGAGAAAGGAAAAATTTAAATCGCATCATATGACCCCTTTAAAATAAAGAGCTGGGTGATAATATAGTTAAATTTTGCAAGAAAAAAAAGAAGAAAAAAAAAAAGAGGCAGTCGACATTTGCTATATAATATATATTGTTATACTTGAGTGTACTGTATGTATGCAGAAGACAGAAGGATAACCAGTTTGTAGATTTAGCCAAAAGAGAGGGGACACTTCTCCGGGAAAGTCAGACCTCGCGTTCGCGGGACAGTACTGGCGAAATCTTCCAACTGAACCATAAGCTAAGGTTTATCCAAAAAAGGCACTAGGTTTGTCAGTATGAATATTCTATGGAAAAAAGCCGCTAAAAGGGTCTGAAAGTTGCTAAATCTAGTGCTAAAGTCACGCTCGTGTGTGTGAGACGCAGGAGCTGATGGCAGGGGGCACTGGATATTTGTGTAGAGGTCAATGTGGATATTGTGGATGAGTTCTTCTGTGTCATCACGTTCTATTAGTTCTACAGCTTCAGTTTCGAAACGTTCACGCTTAGTAACACATACAGCTGCTCCCTCACCACAGTGCAACAGTGAAAAGGGACCCCTTTCAAACAGTGTTGCGTTCCGAACGTTGTTTGGTATACACCGGTATTTTAAAAAGTCATATCATAAAAAGAAACACCGGTATTCGGTATGAACCGGTATACCGCCCAGCACTACATCAGATTGGGGGGAACATTTTGGTCATTTCTCATTATTGGGGGGGTGTGGGTGTGGTACTTGTCTCCCTCAATGTCTATGGTAGTTACAGCCCTGGGGTGAACTATTTCAGAGTAACGTAACAACAAATGACTGAGAGTCTTAGAAATGGACTAGGTCAGTATGGCTGCAAATCGTTGGACAGATCAAGACCATCATGGGGAAATAATGAGGAAAGTTAACTCACAAGTATTGAGCACAGGACCCCTCCTGCGAAACAAATGACGAACCACTTCACCCGTGTGCCGAAACTGAGTGTTGTGCTATCCAGGATCTACGGGGAAGAATCACAGGACGTCACATGGTTCATAATGCCCCACAAACAAAGAGTTCATGCTTTAAACTTGCTTATGACTGCATCCGATTCATTAAAATGCCTCTGATTTATATATGCAGAGACCCACAGGAAGAAAATGTACTATTGTTCTGACTTTCCCATATAATCATTCCCATGATGACCATCATGCATTACAGCCTAAACAGTTAAGATGAACAGATCGGCTGGTACTTTACAGAGGAATAAATGCGTAGTATATAACGAAAAACAACACATCACAGCACTGCAGAGCTTACAATATGTTTTTTAAAGTATGATGAACTTTCTATCTTAAAGGGATCAATTAAAATGTGATCCCTCATGACATGAACCCTTTAAGACACTACTGTATGTAAAACATCTAGTGACACTGCACTGTAATCTCTTTATGTAGACTATTTCTCCTGACTAAATTGCACCATGGTGTTACTACGGTTTGTGATAACACAGAATGGTAATATCATGTTGTTGTTTTTATTATGTAACATTGTCATGATGGTAATAACATACTACCATAGTATTCTGTGAAGGAGACTGGAGTACCATGCTGTATAAATATGGCATTCATCCATTACCATGGCATTACTATCTGCTACCTTTACTGTATAATAGTACTAACTGTAAGAACTAAAAGGAAGTAAAAAATACCAACACTGTGAATTTACAGTACTACATAAACTCTATGCGGCCTATCAGTTACAGACGAAGACACACTGCAAACAAACACACAAGAGAGCCACTTTTTCATACAAAATTAAGGTTATTTTCATCTGTACTGCTATCAATACACTTTCAGAGGCTGCTACAAATCGTGTATGGCATGCAAACATAATTTCTGAATATCCTTAAATAAGTTTCACAGAGCAGAGAGTGTTATGTGTGGAAAACAGATGTCCTAATACACGTTCATGAATGAATGCATATAGGCAAGTTTTGACTTTTAATGGAAGAATGACGTAGCATTAAGCCACACCAGCAAAAGATAAAGTGTTTGGCTGAAGGTCTTCAAACAGCCCAGAATGTGTTTCTCTGCTTAACAGAGCTTCATTTTGGAAAAGGTGTTGATCATATTCATACAAAAATACTGGACTGTCTTCTAGAGAGCCACTTTTTCATACAAAATTAAGGTTATTTTCATCTGTACTGCTATCAATACACTTTCAGAGGCGGCTACAAATCGTGTATGGCATGCAAACATAATTTCTGAATATCCTTAAATAAATTTCACAGAGCGGAGAGTGTTATGTGTGGAAAACAGATGTCCTAATACACTTTCATGAATGAATGCATATAGGCAAGTTTTGACTTTTAATGGAAGAATGACGTAGGTCAACTCTAAAATAAACGAATAGAAGATTATAATAAATAATAGATAATGACCTCAGTACATAAAGCGTATCATGTGTTTTCAAGATCATTAATCTAAAGACTTTACAATAAGATACAATTTGGTAGTCTAGTTCAAACTGAATTTACACATTTTATTATTATTATAATTTTTTTACATTTCCATGAAAGTGAAAATACATGCACATGATTATATTCTTTAAAGTTTTTGTTTTATTTCTTTAGCATCATTCAATCGATCTAGTGCAAAGGTGTGGCACTTGTTTAGGTTTAGGTGTTAATGCATAAAGGTCACTTAAAAACAAACAAACAAAAAAAAAAAAAGATAAAAAAAAAGGTACCGGGTATCTTTAATAAACACATACATATTTAAATAATTAAACAGAAATAGAAATACACGTGCATATCAAAATTATTTATAAATAAATACGTTAAAAAGAACGTGGTGCAAATACGCAAGATGAAAACAATAATAAATTAAAAACAGCTGTTTTGTGTAGCCTCAGCATTACACAAGACCAATGAAATCAGACAAAACAGAGTAAAACTGTGACATTAAAGAAGGTTACTAGTAAACCAAAAACAACATGAACAATGCTCTTTGTGCTTTCACTAGCATGTTAGAACCATTAGTTTGTCATAAAAATACATACTGTACATGGCATGCATGTTCAAAAGATGCTGGCACATAGCTTAAGGTGCAGCACTGTCACCATGATAGACCAAAACATCTTCTACTAACTTCTACATGGCTCTAACTGACGTGTCTGCAGCAAGTAGTAGCAACTTTTATGAATGACTGGCTTTGCAACCGACTGCACACAGTTTGGGAACAATAACTGCAATCTTTGTTATGCACCATTAAAACTAAACGCTTCAAGATGCACACACCTGAAATTCACAGGGGTGCACACACACACACACACACACACACACACACACAAACCCCGCGTCACGCTCTGAAAGAGCTGTTTTTGAGCCCTGACAGCCGTGATGTTTGCATCTGGCCCTCATCAATCTCTTGACATCAGCAGAGACACTTGGCAGATCATTTTTCACTCTTTGGAGATTGCTCTGACACTCTGTGGTCAATCCAATTTTTCCATTCTGCTCCGGATGCTTTGGCGGTCGCCTGGTGCCTTGTCCGAAGCCTGCGCGCTCTGACATTTCTTAAAGCGGTAGAAGCTCATGTGTCTGGCTGGAGTGCTATAGACGAGTGGATGTGAGTCTTTTCATGCCTCTTCTCTGAGCCAGAGAGGAAGAAAGCACTGGCTCCAGTTTTGGGGCCTGAGGTGACCGATTCAAAGCGGAGTATGTGGCAGCCATCGCCCCCTAGGAAACAATAGGATTGATTAATATATCCTAAATTATTCAGCGTCGAAGCACAAATAGTGTGGTCATTTAAAGTGACAGTTAAAAACTGTATGCAACTGTATTTCAAGTTAATACTGTTCAAAAGTTTGGGGTCAGTAAGATTTTCTTTTATAGAAATTAATACTTTTATTCAACAAGGGCACATGAAATTATTAAAAAGTGAAAGTAGACAGTTTTTACGTTGCTAAAAAAGATTACTATTACAAATAAATTGTTTGTTGATGATTTAAACTTTCCATGCATTACAGAATCCTGAAAAAGTATCATGTTTTTCCTCAAAAAGATGAAGCAGCACAACTGTTCTCAACATTAATGATGTTTCTTGAGCAAATATTAAAATGATTTCTGAAGGACAATGTGACACTGACGACTGGAGAAATGGTGTTGAAAATTCAGCTTTACATCACAGGAATAAATTACATTTTAATATATATTCAAATAGAACATGCTTATATTCAATTGCAATAATATTTTACAATATTACTGTTTTTAACTGTATTTTTGATTAAATAAAGGTAGTCTTAGTGAGCATTAAAATAAAAGTCTAATAAAATGAGATTTATAAATGATAAAAAATATTTTTTGAATGGTAATGTATGTACTGTTATCCAAGAAACATTACTTGATGCCATATCTATCCTCTTTATTACCCCCTCTATATAGTTAGCCTATTTGCTTTCTTAAAGGGTTAGTTCACCCAAAAATTTAAATTAGGCTGTGTTTTTACTCACCCCCGAAAAATATCCATATTCAAAATGTAATAATCACTTTAATGTAGCTTGCGCCAACAGTTGTACACGCTAGATTCAAGTGATTAAGTTTTGAATATGGATATTTTTCTTACAAAAACACATCGATTCGCTACAGAAGGCCTTTGTTCACTCCCCGGAGCCGTGTGAGACACTTTTTTGATGGATGGGCGATTTTTATTTAACTTCTTTTGGACTAAAGCAATGCAACACCCGCTGAGTGGCATTAAACAGCTTGAAAGATCAAAGACAATTTTTAATATAACTCCGACTGGATTCGTCTGAAAGAAGAAAGTCATATACACCTAGGATGCCTCGGGGGTGAGTAAAACGCAGCCTAATTTTCATTTTTGGGTGAACTAACCCTTTAATACAAAGTGGAAAAATTAGTTTAATTTTTTTTCCTCTATATTATTTTTGTAGTATATAGTTATGACTCCAGAATTTACTTAAAAATCATAATGATCACCTAAATTGTTTAGTTCCTAAGTCAAAAGAAGAATGAATGTCTTTAGGTTTAAAGTGGAACAGGTGCAGTTTTACAGGTAAACATGAGGTGGCGATGTTGCACTTTGAGAGTGGATCTGGCAACCGCTCAAATGCAGCAGCAGATGGGATGACAGGAGCAGTACCTTCACCAGTTGCACATCCTGTCTGATCAGCTGGCTCTGAGATAACTGATCATGGTTCACTATCCAGGAATGTCTGAGAACAAGAGGTGCCGTCAGCCGCTGATGGGGGTCCACATGCAGCATTTTAGTTACAATGTCCTGTTCAAAGATGACAAAAATGACTTACTTTGAGGCTGAAATCATTTGGAACCAAACTAAGATGATTTAAAGAATGATGTTTCTTCACAGCTGCTAGTAAAGACTGAATGCACATTATTTCTATGGCTGGGCGAAGAGTGTGTTATCAGACTAGTTTTCCAAACCTTCCTCGTCTCAATATGGTAGCTAATAAGTTGATTTCTATAAATCTCTTCTGTTTGAATCAAATAAAACAATTTGGTTTTGTCACCACTCAGAAATAATCATGGCTCTGCATGGGTTTTATTGCCTTTTTATTGCTTAAATAATCTGTCTACACTGCTGCCTAGTACTGTGAACTGTAATATTGATATACACTACAGGTTAAAACATTGGAATGATTAAGACTTTTTTAATGCTTTATTTTATATTTTAAAATGTAATTTATTCTTGTGAGGGCAAACCTGAATCGTCAGCATCACGTGAACCCTCGGAAATCATTCCAATATGCTGATTTGGTGCACAATTATTGCTCAAGAATAAATTACATTTTAAAATATATTCATATTGTAAACAGTTATTTTAAAATGTAATAATATTTCAAAATATTACTGTTTTTCACTGCATCTTCAGTCAAATAAATGCAGCCTTGGTGAGCATAAAAGACTTAAAAAAACAAAAACATGAATTTCTTTTTGATTATAATTAAGTAAAATTGTAATTATTTTAAACGTTTGAACGGTAGTGCACATAAATATAGAACTGAAAAGGATTAAACATCTTTCTTACATTTATGTAGTAAAATAAATGTGGAAAACATGCCTTTGTTATTTATATGAACTCGATTTTACCCTATTTATTGTATTAAACAGCAAAATAAATGTTAACAACCATATTGAATATTGTCAAAAGACAGACAAATATATATATATATATATATATGTGTGTGACCCTGGTGCACAAAACCAGTCTTAAGTCGCTGGGGTATATTTGTAGCAATAGCCAAAAATACATTGTATGGGTCAAAATGATAGATTTTTCTTTTATGCCAAAAATCATTAGGATATTAAGTAAAGATCATGTTCCTTGAAGATATTTTGTACATTTCCTACCGTAAATATATCAAAACTTAATTTTTGATTAGTAAAATTGCTAAGAACTTCATTTGGACAACTTTAAAGGCGATTTTCTCAATATTTTGATTTTTTTTTGCACCCTCAGATTCCAGATTTTCAAATAGTTGTATCTCAGCCTTTAAAAGCTTATTTATTCAGCTTTCAGGTGATGTATAAATCTCAATTTTTAAAAATTGACACTTAATACTGGTTTTGTGGTCCAGGGTCACATATTTGTCTATATACTGTATTGGCCAGTCATAATCTCAACATGCAGAAATCAGGAAGCTGACCTTAGCTGCGTCAGACACCGTGTCCCAGTTGCCTCCTGACAGGGCAAATTTCCCACTGCCAATGCGAGCCAAGATCTCTTCTGGTGTGTCGTCAGGGCCGTTAGCGAAGGGTGTGAAACTGTGGGACAGAACGAGAGCTGAGTGTGTGAAAGAACTTGTGAACGCGCCCTTACAGAGATAGGGTGAGAAGAGAAAGAGTGGCTTTTTTATACAATATCCCCCATTTCCACCGAGTTATTTTTAGTGTACACATATGGCTAGGTCAGAAGAGTGAGATGATTTTTTTTCTTTTTTTCCAAATGTTCTGATTACACAGAGGTTTAAAGCTCAATCCATAGTCAGGAACATTAAATTGAGAGTGCTGCTTGGCTTCTGATAGCTCTGGCATTGTGTTCAGTACAATTACTCTGCGACTTGACCCAGCTTACCTAGTAATCCCCTCCACCCTGCTCTAGAAATTAGTCCCTCATCCGAGCATTGGGAGAAAGGATGTGCTACATAGAGTTTTGATTTATTTGTGTTGATAGGTCAATCATAATGTTGCAGAAAGTGAAGAAAATTAAGGCTGGGCACTTGATGGGAGAAAGAGTGTTAGCATGCCTAGATGAATATTGTCAGTTCATTCAAAGCAACAAATAGAATCGGTTCTACTGAGAGGGCGAAACAACAACAGCATTGCAGTATGGTTGCATGTGAAGCTTTTTTTTATGTGGCTATTCTGGTTGCTTGTTTTGTTTAACTTTTTAAACAGAGTTGAGTTTTTAACTATAATACCATATTACAACTAAAATTGTGAAGTGCCAGGTTTGGAGACAGAAACTTATTCTTAGTTTGATTACTTTTGACTATTTTCCACACATTAGAACAACAGTAAGGTCATTAAATAGTTACATTCACTAATCACATTTCGCAATTTCTGCAAATTTGTCATCATCTAGATTTGATGAGCAGATGAGGTGCATTCTGGGATGCTTTTTAAACAGTAAGGAGTTCACATGTATCCTGGACACCTGCTTTACCTTTACTATCTCAGCCATTTTACCGTCTTTATTAAAATTACTGTACAGTTTAGTAATAATAATAATAATAATAATAAAATGTAGATAGAATTTATAATTGCTTAAAAAACTATTTTTTTTAACTAATTGGATCTGAAGGTTTTTAATATCACGAGAAACAAACAAAAAAATGTAATCAGAAATGTCCAAACTTGGCTGTAATAGTTGTGATTGTATTTACACTTCATACACTACTGTATAAACTGTTTGGGGTGGGTAAGATTTTTTATATGTTTTTGTCTATTAAGTCTCTTATGCTCATAAGTTTATTTGATAAATACAGTACAAACATTAATATTGTGAAATAATATTACTTTTTTAAATAACTAACTGTTTTCTATTTTAATATTTTTTTAAACTGTGATTTATTTCTTTGAGGGCAAAGCTGAATTTCAATTTTTTTGTCTTCAATGTCACATGATATATATTTAGAAATCATTCTAATATGCTGAAATCGAAAGAATGAAAATAAATAAAGTCTCTTTTGAGCAATTTAATGCATCCTTCCTGTATAAAAGTATATTGTAAAGTTGTATTATATTCAAAAATCCAACTGACCCCAAACTGAAAGGTAGTGTATATGTAATATATAACATAAGACTCGACTTACCCTGCCAGCATGGTGTACAGTAAGATTCCCAGGCTCCAGATATCACAGGCGGCATCATATCCCTGTTTCTTCAGGACCTGGATGAATCACAGGGTTGTCATTTGACAGTTTTTTATAAACTAATAAATCATAACACTGAAAACAACTATGTACTGTATCGAAAAGTACCTCTGGAGCCACAAAGTTTGCAGTGTAGCACGGTGTCATAAGCAGACCATTTTCAGCCCTTAACTGTTTGGCAAACCCAAAATCACATATTCTGATGGACTCTGGGTCGCCTGTTTCATCGACATACAGGATGTTACTGGGCTTCAAGTCTCGATGCACAACCTGGACACAGACGCAGAAACAATAATGCAGTACATTCCAAAATCTGTGCAATTTGCTGTATTAGAACTTCTATGGCACTTTTATCTTCAGTAGCAACTAAACAATTAACTATTTAGCGTCTCCACTGTGACCACATGCAAACTGACCCCCTGTGAATGCAGATACTCCACAGTCTTGGTGATGGTGCAGAGCACAGCTGAGGCCTCGCGCTCTGAGAAGCACTTCTGCCGCAGGATCCGGTCCAGCAGCTCTCCTCCTCTCATCAGCTCCATCACCAGATACACAAACTTGCCGTCGTCATAGACCTGCAGCACACAGCACAGCACAGCTCAGCTCACTGTCTCCATCACACTGCAGTGACGCAGCTTTCAATCACAGACATCAGCAGATCAGAGGGAGCCCAGGAGGCCTTACGCAACCAGAAGAAAACTTGTGAAACTGGATCAACGGTAAAGCAGGTTAACATGGTAAGACAGCTGAGATAAAGGCCTTAAAAGACATTAAACCTTCTGTTAGTAGGCTGGAGTGTTCGGCAAAATTCTGAATTTGAAAATGAGTTCCTTTTTTCGATCTAAGAATTGAAACAGAATTGACCACAACACACAGGATGTTGAATCGAAATGACAGGAAAATGAATTTGAAACTGAATTTGAGGAATTTCAACACTCAATAGAGGAGTTTCATTAGTCCATTAGCTACCACTGCAAAAAATATATATATTTTCTTAGTATTTTTGTCTTGTTTTCCATTACAAATATCGAAACATTCTTAAATCAAGACACATACAGCATACTTGAGACTTAAGATACTAAGTCCTGTTTTCTGAAAAAAATTGTCAAAAGTTTGTAAATTTTTGCTTAAAACAAAACAAACAAAAAATCAGCCAATGGGGTAAGAAAAATAATAATAAAATAATCCCTTTGAATTAATTATTTTTTTACCCCATTGGCAGATATTGTGTCTCGTTCTAAACAAAATATTGTTAATTTTCTTTTCAGAAAACAAGACTTAATATCTTTAGTCATTTTGCTTCTCAAGTAAATTCATCTTGAATCAAGAATGTTTCGATATTTGTACTAGAAAACAAGTCAATATAAATACTAAGTAAGAAAATCATTTTAATTTGCACTAATTATGTCTACTTATTCTCTGATATGAAGAATACTTTTTTTTTGCCCAACTAATTAGGCAATTTTCTAAGTTATATGTTTTTTCCAAGCTAATCACACCAAAATTCAGACTTAACTTCATCAAAAAAGTTAAAAGAACATTGACATCAAAATTGGAATCTATCCACTATTTATTAGAAGTAAATAAGTAAATTAGAGCATTCTGTGAAATTAAGTGTCTCCTACTATAATCCAATTTAATTCAATAAACATGTATAGGCAAAATAGAAATGTATTATTGAAAACTACACTTTATGAAATTGAAAACAGGAAACCTCTATTAACTAATTTAATATCATTTTATCTTCATGATAAAATAATATATATTTAGATCTACTTAGACAGAAAAGTTATATAGATTACAAAAACTATGGGCACAGATTAAAAAAAAATAAATAATTTAAATTTTTAAATATATATATATATATATATTTTTTAGTCTAGGGGGTCTCCATAAAACTTAAGTAACATTTGTTATTTGTATTTTTTTTTAAGTGTGACTCACATCTTTCAGAGTAATGATGTTTGGGTGCTGGCCGTATCTCAGAAGAATCTCGATCTCTTCAGACGGGTCCTTCTTGGCTCTGTCAATAATCTGAAAAGAAGTGGGCTGGTCACAGCGGTGTCTGATAAAGCTTCGACTGACACTGAGTGATGCTGTCCTCTATGGCAATTCATCAAAAAACCTCTCCTGAAACAGCCACGGCCTCTGCTGTTCACTAAATAACACTCTGCACTGTGTGCTTTGTCACACGAAGAGCATAGTGCTTTTCAGGATTAGATGTCATACTTACTTTGACAGCATACTCCACACTGGTGATTCTGTGGACACAACGTTTGCAGACCGAATACGCTCCAATGCCGATATCTTCTTTCAACTCATAGCCGTCAGTGAAATGAATGTTGTTGCCATGAAGTTGCTGCAATAAAACAACACGCATTCATATACTGAGTAATTATATGACATTATGAGTGGTAAAATGACAACACTACTTCAACTGTGGACATGTTCCACTAACAGTCTCCTTTCTTGAGCAATTTTTTCATTTATTGTAATCTAATGCAATAGCATTCATGCATGTTGAAGTGTGGCTTCAGTGTCCACTGTAGATGATGATTTAACCCCAAGCATCTTACAACACACTCACTGCACTGACTGTCCTCCAGGAGTAACCTGATGTTAAAACTTTAACACCATTATTTTGCTACCTTGCAAGCATTTTTTTTCCCCCTTCAGGAAATACAAATCTAGTCTTCAGTGCTTTGTAACAGTGCATGGAGAAACATTTATATTCATCGGCTAAAAGTGAAACAGACATATATGTCACAGATGCAAATAACCGACAGCATCTTCAGGTAAACGAAACGCCTCCCGAAAACAAAAGCAATTCAGCGCACAGGTTTAGAAATTCTCTACAAATAGTTGCACTCATGCATGTTCATGAGTGCTATCAAAGTAAGTTAATATCGTATGCTCGGCAGATGCCACATCAGATCACAATGATCTATTCTAGACAACGGCGCTCGTGTGCCAGTGCGCTCCCGCCAATCAATACATCTCATTCAGCCTCTCAGCAGCCTCAGCTCAGATACTTCAATAAAGCAGCTCTTCAGGTATGAACCATCTGGCAGAATTAGTTCAGCTTATGTAACACGGGGCTCTTTTTTCCTTCTCTCTCTTCTTGTTTTGTGCTGTGCAACACAACAGTGCTTCCCTGAGGAATAGGTCTGAATTGACTGCGTGTGTACAGCCACCAAGGTTAAACGGATACAGAAAACAACTTTGGCTCGGCTGACTGCAATATTTCTTACATGTCAGCAACTAGCCCTCAATGTAGCAAAGCATGCATAAGTGAAATATTGATTATTTTTCATCACTCTGTTGTGTCATCATGACTACTGCGGGCATGCTTGCATCACGAACGAAAATACATCTGTATATTTTCTGAAGAAATGGGAGGTGAAGTTTGCCAGTGCAAAATTTGCGGCATTGATGCATAGGTGATGTGGGTGGTTGCTAGGGTACTTTAAAGGTATTTAGAGTGTTAAATTATTTTTTTAGCATCTTACTATGCCCTATTTTCAGTTGTTTTTTTAGCATGTTGCTACATGTGCTAAGGTATTTTAAGTGTTTCGCATGTCGCTATGTGGTTGCTGAAATATTATGAATGGCTTTTAGGGGCCATTTACACGACAACGTTTTCAGCCAAAAACGGGAAACTTTTTATGCGTTTTGCCTGTTCGTTTACACGACAACAGAGTTTTGGGGACTGAAAACGCATATTTTTGAAAACGGGCTTCAACGTGCAAGTTTTTAAAAACGCCACCATTATCGTTTCCGTGCAAACACCCAAAACGGGAATCTTTGAAAACGGTGACGTCATGCGCGTGCGTAGTACGTGTTAGGTATGTAGACATGCGCAGTACGTGTCGATTTTAAAGGCAAGCGCGAACAAACATACACAACAATGGCGGAGTACATGGTTGTTGCTGCTCAAGAGTTTGCTAACGCTTCTTCAGCAAAGTGTGGATTTACTTCACCAATATTACAACCAACAGCGGAGACGCGTCACATACAACGAATAATCGTCAATTCCCTACAGGTACTGTTTACTAACAAGGTGACAGCGCCAACTACTGGCCTGGCATGCGTAATACACTGTTTTTGGCCGTTTTCACGGATATGTGTAAACGTGAATCGTTTTGAAACGTTGTCGTGTATACGTGAAACTTTTTAAAAATGCAAGGGAAAAACTTTTCCGTTTTTGACTACATCGTTGTCATGTAAACGTAGCCTTAGTTAGTATACAAGTTATTTTGAGTATCTTTTACCACGTTCCTAAGCAGTTGCTAAGGTATTTTGAGTGATCTTTAGCATTCACTATGCATTTGCTGTATTTTGATTTGATTTTAGCATGTTGCTAAAGGTATTTGAAGTGTTTTTTGCATGTCACTATGTGGTTGTTAATGTATTTTGAATGGCTTTTAGAAGCTTTAGGTTTTCTAAGGTACTTTAAGTGGCTTTTAGCATGTGGCTGTGCAGCTGTGGTATTTTGAGTTGATTTTAGCATGTTGCTGCATGTGCTAATGTAGTTTAACTGTTTTTCGCGTGTCACTATGTGGCTGCTAAGGTATTTTGAATGGCTTTTAGTTGTTATAGGTTTACTAAGGAATTCTGAGTGGCTTTTAACATGTCGCTATATGCATTTTGAGTTGTTTTTGCATGTTGCTACAACAGTTAATGTATTTTCAGTATTTTTTTAAAATAGCTTTTAGTTTCTATACTTTTGCTACAGTATTTTTAGTAGCTTATAACATGTTGCTATGCACTCGCTAAGGTATGTTGAGTGACTTGTGGATGGTTGCCATCATAAATCTCCATAAGAGTTCTCAGAGTCCTGCTCACCTGTACAATGGGGTTAACAGAATTTTGCTTGGTCTCGGCCAGCGGCTGTTCTTCATCCAGGTTAGAGGCCACAAAGCTGAAGCCGCGGAAGAGCTGGTGTGCGTTAGCGCTGGCTGGAACTCCGGGTGAGTCTGCAGACACACAGATGCAAACAAATTTAGAAAGACAACAAGGACAAAGTCTCTCTATAAATGGAAACACACAATTGATCCCATCTGAGCAGTATGAATTGACTGGGTGCACTATGCGGCAGGACCCGAGGGCTCTTGGTAAACAGGTTCTGCTGCTGCAGTTCACTCTAATTTGTTTTTGCACTCTCCCTGTGCTTGTTTATGCGCATTTCGACGTGTCGCATCAGAAACGAGTAATGGAAACACCAAATTTCGGAAATTCGCAAAATAAATAAAATACATTATGCTCATTTGAGGTGTTTTTTGACTTGTGCCAAAAAGGGTTAATGCGAATAATGGGAGATGGAAACACATTTGCAGAATAAATTCCTCCATGTGCATCAAAGACGTGAGTCACGTGACTTTGCGCTATGGGACGCCAATACCTGAATAACCAGCGGGCCGATCTTGTTTCACAGCATCTGAAATGTTACAGTCATTCTTAAATGCCTGAGCAAAGTCTGTCATTAAACTATTTCTGTATAATTGCCTCCCAGAACTGTCTGACACGAATGCGTTCCCAAACAGCAGGCATCCACCTCCGAAAGCAATGGTAGCATTTATTGTGTTTCGTCTGCTCGCTCTGAGGCGCAAGCAATTTACTATATATGAAAATTATTATATTCAGTAGGGCTGGGTATCGTTCAAAAATTTTTGATATCGATACCGATACCTTGACTTCGATACCGGTTCCTGAACGATACTTTTTTCGATACCAATTTTATTAAATCAATTTTAACAAGATTACATTATCTTAAAAAAAAAAAAAACTTTGGTTTTATTTTTCAGCTTGTTGATGTTTATACCAACTCAAAGACTCATCTCCTGAGCCACTGCACAAAGGAACAAAATGTAACCAACACAATAAATCAGTGCAAATAGTTTTAATAAAGCTCAAATAGTCTTCAGTTTACACATCTGTTAGGCTACATTTACACTAGTGCGTGTTCGTTTTAAAAAGCATAGCTCAGACAGAATCATGATTTCTATTTATTTTCCACTGATTTACTGATGAGCATTAGCAGCTTCCAGCGCTGTCTGTCTGTGTTCTCTCTTCCATGAGCGCTGCTCTGACTCGGAGTCAGAGGTAGTAACATATTTAATTTTAGCAACATTACATGGCCAAAACACACATTAGACGGCAATCGGAAGTTATTACAAACACTCGATTGTGGTTTAAAGTGAGTTTTGAGTAAAAGTGGAATATAAATCTTATTTGTCTTTTTTAGCATGATGCTACAGTTTGCATGAATGCTCACGTAACACGTGCTTTCGGTCATGTAGTATGATCTCTGAGTGTAACCGGGGTAAACTAGTAGGTGTGTTCGACTTGACACGTACTGACAGTGCAGACCTATCTGTGTTTTACAGTACCACGAGAGCTAAAGAGAGCAGACTGCACCGTGCGCTTTCGAATCGCTCTCGCGGATGTCAAACAAACACTCGATCTGCGCCGCACCTCTTTTTGTCGAACACTTTTGCTAGTGCTGCAGGCTTATTGACTCACTGACGCTGATGAGATTAACCCCTTAGGTATCGAAATTTGGTACCGAACGAAGAGGCATTTTTCGATACTCGATGGTATCGAGGCATTTCGGTCGGTGCCTAAAAATTATCGAACTCGATACCCAGTCCTAATATTCAGTGGCTTCTCCTACTTTTCTTTGTGATAATTAGTGCCAGTTTATCAGGAAGTGATGCTTTTGTTCTCTTTGACTCGTTGGATGGGAATGGTGCTTATTCACAAATATTCCAATTTTGCGCAAAAGTTAAATTCACAACTTTGTATGGAAACCCGACTTATGATGCTTGAAAGCAAACACTTCATCCATCCATAATTTAAATAAAATGGCATATGAGTGTTACGTGTAATCTGAAAATCAAATGCAATTTTTGTCACCTGTCGGCGTGCGGGATGTAAACTCAGGATCAAAATGGAATGTGTCCTCTGGTCGACCCACTGCTGGTTTGAACGGAGGCTTGATTTCTCGTCTGTACAATTTCTGTTGACCAGAAATGCATCATTTAAGCCATACACCAATGCTTGAGGTTATACATGTTACAGAAAAAAATGGATCAAACATAATGGAGCTTCCTGTGAATTTTGAGCAGTAATTGCATAAAACATTAACATTTAAAAGCTATGTGAACTAAGGGTTGGATAACAAATAAACATAGCATAATAGCATAGGATAAACATAGCATAGACAGTTTTATGTCTGAATATTTAAATATGACTTTAATGGTTGATCGTTAAAAAACAGATTTAAAGGTACAATACGTATTTTTTGAGCAGTACAAAAAAAACACACTCTGTGGAACACTGTATCCCACACACAATGCAATGCAATCATCACACAGTGTGCTTGAATTAACTGGTACTTTCTGGTATTTTAAGTCATTTTAAACGTGATTTTAAAATACACATGAACTGTTCGGACATGATTATTTCTGAATTAAGACATGCATGGAATGAAGTTGGATTAAAAATATAATAAAGTCATGTGACCACAGTCTCATGTCTCAAACAACTGCACACAAATCACACCAGGTAGTAATTAAACAAAATAATAACGGCAGAGCCTCAACTCTTTTTCTTCACCGTCTTTTATTCAGACTTCAAGTGCTGGAGTGATGGGCAATGACTGTTGGGTAAATTTCCCTCTCCACATCCTGTGAAGTGATGTTCCCTTATTCCCTATGCTGTTCACAGTTCCCTTCAAACTGAACATTTACTGTATGCTCTCTTCGGATTGGAATCTCACTTAAGACTGTGAAATATGCTGTTAAGACCACTTTGCATGGCTTTTACGGTAAATCTGGAATGCACCTATACTCATTAAAAAAAAATCGTCAGCAGAATTCAGTAACTTAGGATTTACCAATAAAATACAGTTTACAATGCAATATGCAGAAAACCGTACGCTA